GAAAATTTAAAAAAAAAAAAAAAAAAAAAAAATAAATAAATTCAAAATTCAAATCATCATTTAACTCCATAGTTTATAAAGCTAGAAGAGCAGGTTAATGGTTCAGTTCTCCTTTGATTGCAAAATAATTTTTGCGGAAATATGTAACATGTGTCGAGAATGGCTAAGGGTTGCTGAAATATGCTGCTAGAAAAAAAAAATATCACAGCATCAAATTATAGAAACTATTGTTAATCAGAATGCTGTTAGCCATAACTTATTTCCCATCTTATCCAGAATTGCAAATGAGAGAGAGAGAGAGACTGCCTTACTTCCTCCTTGGAGAAGCAAATAGACTTTTGACTCATAGTGAAGTTGAGGGTGCTTGGTCTTCACAGATTCCTGGTAATTGCAGTAGTTACAATTAAAAATAATAATAATAATAATAAAAAAATAATAATAAATTTATAAGTGATTATCATAAAATTTTATAAAAAATACTTTTAACTTGTATCTTCTCAAGTTTTACGCTATAACTTGCATCTTCTTCACGAGTGTTTAGAGATTTTTATGAGTCAAACCTAAGTAGTCATATTGAAAAGCATTATCTTCATAACTAAGAAAGATGCACGTGATGACTACTAATTTCTCCACGTATCAAGAAAAGAAAGGTTTAGTGTTTACAAGTTGGTCACAGTTTGCCACAGCATACAAGTTCACATTCTAAAATGTAGTAGTTACGAAAAAAATGGTCCATGATCAAATTTCATGTACAGGTTAGGATTTCGTTGTTGTTAAGCTGAAAGTTTGTTGCCGTGGTTGACAAACTTCGCTAATTGTCCTACAAAACGAGAGATTGAACTAAATTTGTTCATGCATCTCTATTATTCTTGTTTCATCCAAATTATTTTTTCCCACTACATGCAGGATTATAAATTTTATATAGTTAAGAAATTTTAAGTAAAACCATAGATCCAGTATCATTAAAAAAAATACAAAAATGCTTCAAATGTTGATAATACAATGAAAAGCCCATTATACATGACACATTACACGTTATCAAATAAATCAGTCCAAGGGAATGAGTTGCCTGGACCTTAAACAACACAAGCAAGACCAATGACAGATGTAAAAAAATAAATAAATAAATAAGCATACCAGCTTGACGCCCACTTCTTCCCCATTTAGTAGGTTCACACCTGTGTCAATGATGCATAAATGATCCAACAAGATGAACAATAATCCCTTAACAGTAACATAAAAAGACCAAAAGTAAAATAAAAATAGACTCATTTAATTAACAAGTCTCATGTATAAAGAAAAAAATTACCTAAATAGAGTTCACCAAATGAACCACTCCCAATTTTCCTCCCAAGCTTAAATTTTCCACCCACAGCATGCTCCATGGAAATTGATTTAATTCAGTAATTCCCCAAACTCCAATAGCACCCCCAACGTAATTTCTTTTCTCCAATTTCAACGGCAGCTCAGGATGAAAAAAAAGAAACCCAGATTACAGCCGATGAAAATCCAGCAATTAGGATAAAAATCCTCCACCTCCCAAAAACAAAATTTCCAAAACGTCACCGTCCCCCACCCTGGATCCAAGAAATCAATTGATCAAAAAGTTTCCCTTTTGATTCTTCAACTACATACTTGAACGTATACAGAAACTCAAATCAAGAAATTACAATCAATCCTCATTGATCGAAAAATTACACGCAACCATACAATTTCTAAACAGATATTATTGAAATTCAGAAAGTGACTGTTTCTTTGTTTAGTTTCTACAAAGGAAGTGGGATTAGTTGGAGTACGATGATTATGGGGAAGAAATTCGGGGAGAAAAATGATCTAGAATTGGGGTAGTAGAGCGAAGGAAAAATAAAAGGAACTGAAATAGTTAAGGGAGAAAAACAGTGGTATGTATGGTTAAGAAAGAGCAAACTGGATATGGGGCGTAGAGGGTGCGTGAGTGGGGGCAGACATTCAGATTGATGACATAGCCCATATTTTTATTTCAACCTCCTTACATTGTTAGAAATATTTGTCACATTTTTTGACATAATATCACGTAACATCTTATAAAAAAACAGTAAATTTTTACATCCAATCATACTCTATCAACAAATCATATGTCAAAGAACCTGACAACATTTTCTGGTAAAATGGTTTAATTCTACATCATTTTTTTAAAATATAACTCTTTAATTCTCAAACTCAATTTAATTTTACAATAAAAATAATTTGCACTTAAATTTTTCCAACTATTTAATCACATTCAATATCCAAAACATCATAATTTTCAAAATAGTGACCATCAATGGGAGTATAGTACTATATTCCAAATTATTTTTTCTCGAGTAATGTTATTATTGTATACATAATACCGTACATATATATAACACAAAAGAGAGAAATAAATAAAATAAACTTGATGATTATAAGAGTAATATTATTCATCATTATCGGTCCAGATGATAATTACATGGTATTAAATGATATATTCATTTAAGTGTAAAATCACATGACTCATTTATTTAATTAAACATATAAAGTGTAGCTACTTAAATTGGCATCTATCACCATCCGGTGTTAGATAATATTATTCTTATTTTATTCTTTCTCTCGTTAGAATTTAGTTGAGACCCTGAAGTCTATGGGAAATTTAATTGGGAGTTGTTAGTGAGAATTGAAGAAATCTTGAAGGAGATCAAGATGGATAAGGAGAATGTTTTCGCGATTTGGCAATAGTTTGGACTCATTTTTCAACTCAAGTATTCCATTATTGGCTTTTTTTTGTTACGTTAAGACTTCACTTTATATTAGACTCTTCATTATATATTCTCTTAGTGTGTTGGGGATTTATTTATTTATTTATTTTTAATTATAATATGCAGGGTACAACACTTATTGATATTTACTAATTGTCTGACTTATTAGTTTGGTATTGAGAGATCATTTGTAATCATCCATTTTTTAATTAGTGAATTCTCCCCTTCAACCTGTGATTTTTTTCCCAAATTGGGTTTTCACTTAAATCTTGAGTTTGTTGTTATTATTTTCATATTGCCTATTGTTGTTTTTCGTAACAAAGTAATATCATAACAAATTAGTATTGACTCGTTTTTTCTATCAAACGGTATCGGAGTTAGGTTCAACAGTTCCTAGGAGAAACAATTCGATTTCGTATTAGAGCAAGGTTTGATCAATTCAAATCGAGGTTTGATTTTTCGACACGACAAGTATCAAGTTCGATATTCCTACTTTTGGATCGTAACACCAGATTTTTGTCTAGACATTGGAGGAGAAGCAACATAAGGATTGAGTTATGATAAAGGGGCAGAGAAGGTCCTAGTTATATGCCTTACAGGATTCTATAATCACATTTGATGCTACGGTCACTAAATTGAAGAAAAGAGATACTAGACTTTAGGAAATTTGGTTATTTACGCTTTGATAAGCATTAACTTGGGTGGAGTTAGTTATGATCTTGTTGCTCATGATGGTAAATAGAACAAAATTTGTTATTCGGACGGAGTTAGTTATGATCTTTGTTGCTCGTAGTGATAATTCAAGCAAATTTGGTACTCGAGTTAATCTTATTGATAAAAGTAGTGCTTGTATTCAGTTGACATTTATTGAGTTTGCCCTTAGGGGTTTTAGTGGAAGAAGTGAAGAGTTTTGTTGGAGATTTTTTGTTTAAGAGTTAAATTCTATTCCTTGTAGTGAAATTTGTTTTCAGGCGGAAATTTTTGTTGAAAATTGAATTTTTGTTTCTTGTAATAAAATTTGTCTCAAGGTAAAGATTTGTTAGAATTTTGGGTGTGAGCCGGATTATATTGGAAATTTAATTGGGAGTTGGAGGTGTGATTTGAAAAAGTCTAGAAAGAGTCCATGGCAGATAAGAAGAAGGTTAGTGATTTGACAGTGTTTGGATTTCCATTTCAACTCAAATACTCTATCGTTGATTTTACCTATATTATTAAGACTCCACTTTATATTAGGCTCTTTATTGTATTATATTATCCTAGATTGTTAATGAATATTCTTTGATTATAAATATGCGATGTATAACTAGGGATGATAATCAGGCTTGGGCTGCTCGTGGCTCGGCTAGAAAGAAGCTCAAGCCAAGGCTCGGGCCAAGCCTCATTTTTTGGAGTTGGCTCGAGCTAGTATTAAAAAAAAAAAAATTAGTTGCCTATTTGGTAGCTAAAATACAGCAAAGAGGTATATTAAAAAAATTCAGAAATTGAGCTCGGCCCTGAATATTCTTTGATTATAAATATGCGATGTATAACTAGGGATGATAATCAGGCTTGGGCTGCTCGTGGCTCGGCTAGAAAGAAGCTCAAGCCAAGGCTCGGGCCAAGCCTCATTTTTTGGAGTTGGCTCGAGCTAGGCTGACCCATATTAAAAAAAAAAAATTAGTTGCCTATTTGGTAGCTAAAATACAGCAAAGAGGTATATTAAAAAAATTCAGAAATTGAGCTCGGCCCGACTTGGCTCAGCTCGATAAGGCCCAAGGCAAAAGCTCGGGTTGAGCCTTAATATTTTGGCCGAGGGCAAAAAAAAAAAAAAAAAAACTTGTTCCGACTCGACTCAACTCGTTAACATCCCTTTGTATAACACATATTAACATTGAACAATTATCCAACTTATTAATTTGGTCCAGATAAATCCTTCATAATCCTCCATTATTGAATTAGTGAATTTCCCTCTTGTGCTTGTTATTTTTTTTTTCCCGAAATTTGGTTATTGTTGTTATTATTTTCATACTTGCCTATCCTCATTTTTCCTTACAAACTAATATAATCACAAATTGGTATTGGCTCTTATTATAAAATCCCTCTCCCATGTTATCCATTTGTACACAGTAATGTAGGAATAGCTTTACTTTTCTCTCTCTCTCTCCATCAATCTATGAATAATTTTATAGAAGTGGCATTATCGTAATTACAATTTTTTGTGACTTATCAATTTAAAGATTTTAATGAAAAACTTATAAAATTTGATCTCGGCCTCAACCTCAACCTCAACCTCAACCTTGACCCTGACCCTTTGGCCAATAGGGACATTCCTATATACATAGCCCCTCTTGTCAAGATAGTCTTATTCCTTCTTGAAAATAGAATATGAGTATTCACTATTAAAAAAAAAAAAAGGAAATTTTGTTTTATCATTTGTTATTTAAAAAATGAATAATTATATTCACACCACAATTTTGATTAGTAACACAATATTTTAATTACAAGAAAATTTTTAAGTTTTACTTCTTTTATACTTGGATTTTGTTATTTGTATATAAAAATAGTACATAAACGATTACCGAAAATGATGTAGAGGGAAAAGAATGGATGAAAAAGTTAGCTGAATTTTAAATTGTCAAATGATAGAGTGCCATATGAGTATTATGTAATCTCTTATATAAATCTTGATGTAGATATAGCAATTTCCTTTATACTTGTATTATCAACTTTTTCCTTCACATTCTTATCTTTAACATTGAATTAATTACTCCAACATATTTTATTTTTGATGAAGCAAATATTCTGTCTTCGTAATTCGAAATAAGCAACAACCGCCCAATCACTATTGAATATTAATCTAATCTCTCTCTCTCTCTCTCGAGCTTCATTGACAAACGTGCACACCCTAATCATCAGATTATTTTTCTATTTGTTTATTTATGCAAGCAGATTAGTTTAAAGTGGTTTGACATCAACCAAGTTTGTTTGGAGTTGGCGAACCAAACTGTGGACTAATTCTACTCACATTTTCCCTAAAAAATTCTGGCAAATCCAACCTAGCTATGACATCTAGATCAATAGTGATATTTTGTGAAACAAGCAGGACAAAAAGGAAGACCCATGTAGATCTAAACTCGACATCGTTGACCATAAAAAACATTGTGCATCTACCGCTGCATATCAATAACAAGCAGTTCGATCAACTTCTCGCGCCTAATAGGATCGACCCCTTCAAGTAATCATTACACTGGAAAGCAAGAGAAATGCAATTGTCTTCATTTTTCATTAGACTTCACAACATAAATAGGCAAGAATATGTTCGAATGATAACAATATGGAACATAAGCTATCATATCGACATGAATACCTAAGAAGCAAATAAAAAATACCAGATGGAGCACTCAAACATCTTAACACCAAAAATGTTTGTTTGGAGTTGGCGAACCAAACTGTGGACTAATTCTACTCACATTTTCCCTAAAAAATTCTGGCAAATCCAACCTAGCTATGACATCTAGATCAATAGTGATATTTTGTGAAACAAGCAGGACAAAAAGGAAGACCCATGTAGATCTAAACTCGACATCGTTGACCATAAAAAACATTGTGCATCTACCGCTGCATATCAATAACAAGCAGTTCGATCAACTTCTCGCGCCTAATAGGATCGACCCCTTCAAGTAATCATTACACTGGAAAGCAAGAGAAATGCAATTGTCTTCATTTTTCATTAGACTTCACAACATAAATAGGCAAGAATATGTTCGAATGATAACAATATGGAACATAAGCTATCATATCGACATGAATACCTAAGAAGCAAATAAAAAATACCAGATGGAGCACTCAAACATCTTAACACCAAAAAATTGGGTTTGGCATTGATAAACGATAACATAATGGAATTATTGTAGTCAAAGATCGACTGGCCCAATCAAAACAAAATAACAAAATAGAAATGGAGTAGAAAGAGATAAAGCAAGATATATCAAAGTAATTCGCCCAAGCACAACATAATTTATCTAATATTTGTCTTCAAAGACACAATGCTCTTCCATGCGGCAAAAAGTCGAGCTAATATTTACTGATTTCATGCTCCATTTGTCCTACATTTTTTTCTTCTCTTCTATATGTCAACAACGGTTCCAAATGTTGGTTAAATCTTATTTGCATCAAGAATCTTGGAACCATTTTATCCTATTAGTAATTAAACCAACGCATTTTGCTCAGTTCAAATTTTTTTAC